CTTGCTGGTTTGCTGTAGTACAGGTGTCACGCAATCAGCCGACGTAACGCAAAGTTGAGGGCATGTGTTAGGAGGAACGCGCTAACCCGAAAGGAGGGGGCAGGTATTCCCTTAGTGGTTATCTCAGAGAACACGAATAAGTGTTAGTGGTGGCATTAAGGTGGACGAAAACTATCTTCGCCATATTTGGCTATACAAGTAGCAGGATGGAAAACATATTGAACAACTTTTATATAAAAAAATATGTATTTTTCCAAATTATTTGTTCACTCCTTCGGAATTCTATCTCCGACGTAGTTAGCAAGATCGTTCTGCGCGAAAAAAACAGTTGGTAAAATTCTTATAAAAGTTTTGCTTTGGCCCGTATTAGTGGATATTGTAGTCCGTACTTAAGACAAGTTTTTTTGTGATTATCCGTTCACCGAACGGGCTACGAAAAATAACATGCGTATCTTAGATGAGTCAAACGTTGGCCCGTATCGTCATCGCTTAAACTTTTTCCATTCTGAATTTCCCACATGGCGCATCGTTCCACAACTGATTCCCCTGTGGTGATACTCTACCAACACTTAAGCAACATGGGATTCAGAACTTATCTTCCTCCTGTGCTGGCCCGAAAATCACAAGACCGATCGGGTTCATTTATCAATCGGTCGGATCGTTCAGCCGCGCCAAGAGAACTGGTGCTTGACCAGCTAACCCAAGCGAGAAACTTTACCTTGTCTACAGCCCCGAGTCTTTAACAGGCCCAGTGAACTTTGACTGTACAGCAGGCGTGCCTTTACCACACGGATGGACTGGACATGACAACAAGATCACCACAAAAAGTACAAGACAATGTGAAACGATGGAGCATTCGGACAATCGGACTATCCACATAGGAACATGATATATTAAATTGATATTCAGGAATCTTAAATCGAAAAAGGTATAGTTGCGATCCGTTACCTTGACTAGATTCGGGGTCTGTTGCACGAGAATTGGACCTGGCAATTGGCACTCAAATTTGGTAGTGGGCGGCTGTCCTCTGGTTCAGAACCACACCTATTTTGCCGCAGGTTTGCGGGATTCTCTACTTCAACCCTCACGGCTGACAGTAGGTGAACAATTTTCTCCTTTCTGTGAGGTTCTTCTTTTGGAGAATTTACTTTTGATATCAATTAATTTATTGATTTTATTTGTTATTGTTTGTTATACGGTCACCTAAGCAGTCCTAACATCGCACACACAAGTGACCACATAATAGGTCAGATGTGAGTCCTTGTCCACTTCAAATTTAACTGAAAAATTCACAGCTTTCTCCGTGTATGATCGTATCAGAGTGTGACATATGGAATCGTCCATGCCACAGAAAAATGAAAGTGTGTACAATCCAAAAACAAACACTCATTCACCTTAAAAGGAATGGTGTTCATCAGATTGGCAATTGTTTGACAAGCTGGGCACGCCAAAGCACACCACGAGATAAGTTTACCGACACGCGTTGGACGGACACACATTTTTGCACGCGAGCACACATATGGACCGGTAGACAAACACACGCAGGTTGTCGCTTATGCGCACGGACGTGAGCACACTCACAGAAGCATCGGATAAAATATGGTCTGCGGAAGAGACCNCTCCCCCCCCCCACTCCCTTAATGGTGAATTTTAATTCAGTTATGAGAGACTGGGCAGATCGGATTGGCTATTCATAAACTTGAGGAGTCAAGGTCAGCGTGCATGCTCTGTGCACGGAACAAACAAAAACGACGTCAGCGTTGACGTTCTACACCTGTCGGTGAATTTAGCAGTCGAAAAGCTACCCGGCAGTGCTTGCTTACATGTGGTTGTGTCTGTGAGACTTTCTTCGGTGTATTTATGACTAAGACGAGGACGACGACAGCGGCATAAACAGATCATCCACGCCATGTCCGCGTTTACTCTATCCCGTAAAAACAAAGTGGAGAAGAATTGTTTTGCCCTTTTATTTCTCGATGCAATAGAAGTGAACTATTACGAACGCATCAATCCAAAACGGATTAAGGATCATCTCATACGAAAAGCTCGACGTCAACAACTGAACGACCAGATGGGACCGGTCAAATTGACCGTGTTGGACGATCATTTAGAGTTGAACAAAGCATTATGGTGGCCGAATACTGATAGCCATTCGGTATCGCACAATCAACTTCGTGACGTGTTCCCTCTGGAATTAGATGGGAAGAAGTTTCTGGTCGGTGTGGTTAATACGGAAACCAGACAGCGTCGAGTGTTGATTTTTAAAGCCAAAAGTAGTGGCGAATGTGAAAAGATTGTGGATTTGTTGGACAAGTATAGACAACAACAAAATTTACAGTCATTCGAGTCTGACACTATGGCCTCCACCAATCGGGACTCACAAATCAGTATGAAACAGGACAGCCCTATATCATATCGGAGACCATCAAGTGCAGTCAGTTTTGCTCGAACACCATCTGCGGGCGATTTTCCGGAATCCGCTCATCAATACGAGTTGCGAAAATCACGGCTGCAACCGATGGAACGTGGGTCACTCACAATGGGACGAGAATCCTCTGGCCGAAACTGCAGTTTTGCACGTGAATCATATTCAATGGAAGGAGACACAGCACCGGCTGTTATGAAACCTAAACGGTTATATCGAACCCCAATCCATTCACATTACCAACAGGACGTGTATGAACGTCCTGCCAGTACTCTACCCGGGGATTCTTCGCACAGTACGATTGTGGCAAGACCCCCGGCTCAACCAATTCGTTCAGACCGTACAGCGTTGCATGTGGGCACAATTCGTCGGACTCCCGTATTGCCGGATTACGTCAATCCGGATGTGTTACAGCGCTCCACTAGTGTTCAAAGCTTTCCCGCTAATCCCAATGGAGTGAGTGGTTATGTGCAACATGAAGGATATTACTATCCACAAGGGACTAGTTACATAAACGAACAATATGATCCCACACGGAGACAAAGCAATGCTATCCACATTAACATCCATGCTAGCCCAGGTCCGACGTCGAATGACCCGGGTCATTTTGCCTCCTTCCAGGACAGCGACAGACGTGCATCATCCCGAATGCAATCTACTTCACCCACACTACCACCGGGATATGAAATGCACAGGTTCGGTGAACAAATCGATCAAAGTTACGATAGAAGTTTTGATTTGAAAAATGATTTTATTCATCAGAATAATGAGCATATGATGACAGAACAGAATACACTCTCTTTGCCCAAAGGACTTTATCGTGTTTCAAGTGAATCGGGACTGGTTGACCTAGGTCCCAGGTCTCCAAAACCAATTATCATTGTTCGTGAGACAGAGCAGCGGGACGCGGATTCTTTGACGAATTCTATAGCTTCCCAAAGGACAGAAAATCACACGGTGAGATTCGTCGACTTAAATACAGATTCACGACCACAGTCTATGTCCGTCAAATCGAATCCGGGGACAATGAAAAGAGTGCACTACACAGGTGATCACACATCGTCGACCGAAGAACCAAATGAGACTGAACTCACATGTGCCCTACGCATCTCTGTACCGCATACCGAGAAGAAACATTACATACAAGAAGTCACAATTCTTCCAGGCCATAAACAACAACTGCCGCCACCACCACCGCCACAACAACAACAACAACAGCAGGAGAGAGTGATAACATACACCGGAAATCAGCCCGTAACAGATAATACCCAACATTTGTACGGGAATACTGATACATCTAACCAAAACAGTTTGAATCGGATTCGCATTATGAATGTGGAAAATCCCGCGACTAAATCTGTAACATGCACCGTACTACGACACGATACGAATGAGTGCAATGAGATGGGTTCACACACGATGTATCTCAGTCCGAATAAGTCCCCTTGAATTTATCGATTTCCGTTCGTTACGTTTTCCTTCCTACAAGCAAGCAGTTGGCTTGTTGGTTTGTTGCTCAGCATACCTTGTCACACCTTTTCATTCCGTACCCTACGCCAACCCCCTCCCTGCTCATCAGACTACGTTTTCCCCAAATGTACTGGTTTTCACTCTTTAGATGTATATGCGTGATTCCTCATTTGGTACGGGACGAACCGAGTTGATGTGCTAGTTTCTTCTTATATTTTCCTGCTCGCACTTTCTCTCTCCCATCCGATCGTCTCCTATTTTCATAACGGGCATCGTTGCCACCAACACTGTAGTCCTCATTGTCATCATCATGCTCATCTTAACGCGATTGAATCAAGCTCAACTACACATTTTTCATGTCAGTGGTACCCCTCATAATCAGTCCTCATCTATTCGTGATTATTTTACCAAATAAGGGATGTTTGGTACATTGTCCCTCTATCCTTTTAAGAGCATGTCTCTTTCGATTGACAAAACGTTGATTTATTAGAGAAAAAGATTGAAAGAATATTCTATGACGGTCAATGCACCCATGTTATCGTCTATGTCAAACCTATTTTATGCTTCACTATTCGAGAAAAAAAATAAAGTATTATGCATATTTCAAATATCACTGTATTGTACATCGTGTCGCTGATGAAATAATAACGGTGTTTGGTGTTTTCATTTTTAATCTAAACGGGTTTGACGATTGATAAGACTTGGGTGGATGATAGGAACGAATGAAGGAGAGAGTTGAAAGACACTAAAGAGAAGAATAATTTCAGGGTTGTGGTCAGTCGATAATGAAATGTTGGCTAAAAGCTGCTAAAATCAGATGATTTTCAATGAGAAAGGTGAGCCAAATAGAAAAATTGCATAAGTGAATGTTACAAGTACATTGGATGAAAGTCTAGTGAAAAAAAGACATCGGATTTTTAATGTACCCTATTTGGGAAATGAAAGGTCGTCCTGAAAGAAATACTACCCGAATGATTAGGGTCAGGGTGCAACGGGGTGAAATCCGGAGGAAACTGAGCTTACGTTAAAATGGAATAGAACTCATAGTAGCAACGGATAAGTAATGGATAAACGTAGGCTGGATGTGTGAATATTTGACAAGTTGATCTTCTGAGACACAAAGAGCGTAGAGGTTGAAATTGTTCAAAATAAAGTTGAGGTATTCCAACTCAGCAAAGGCTATCAGATGCTGGAGAGATATACAATGAGACTAGAGGAGAACCTTCCCCCACACGCCTTCATCGTATATAATTATTTAAGCAATTTTGGTTTTGAATAACCACCGATTTTCTAACGACGGGATTTGAAAAGGTTGTTCTGTCGAATTGGACTGCCCTTAATGCTCTTTTTTGGTCGTTGAAATGAGATTCTTCACATCAGGTGGGCTGGTAATAATCCGTTCTAATTCTCGGCTAATTGAACTCTGAGGAGAGATTGAGAGAAATACCAGTAGTTCCCGATCGAACTGTATATCCTCAGTCCTTTTGGTCACCAGTAGTTCTGCTTTCACTTATTCATTGGTTGAACCATTTTGCTTCAGAGGGTTTCTTATCATATTCTAAGATAAGCAAATAATGTTTTCAATCCACCAGGAACACATTCAGCTGAAAACATTATCCAACAGAATTTCTTAACTATGAGGTGGATTAGTGAATTGATTGGAATGCAATCGATTAGCTTGAGACAGAATGGCGAACCAAAATGGGGAACTACAATTCACGGTGACCGTACTCTGCTCTGAACGTGCATTGCCTTGTTGTGGAATTTATTTTAAATGAAGTTTGTGTTGAATTCCACTGACTGCATTCTTCACGTGCTTCCCGTGATTGGTTACTTCGACCGCTGTCCATGAATCTCAAACTTTTTTATTTCAGTGCATGCTGCATCACGTGAGTATCTTTTTCATTCATGCATTTTACATACCCATTTGCTGCAAAACTTTTAGAGCTTGAAAACTGTTAATTTCAAGGAGTTACAACTGACTTGCAAGCGGAAAAGGGAATTCTGATCATTGATTGTAATACACAAATGTGATGTTCCGCAAAAGTTTACTACTATAAATGGGCATCCACTTAAACGTAATGGTAGTTTATGGTATGTGCCAGTAACCATTGGTCTATCGCCTGGGCGAGTGATTGGGGAACAATAGCGAGCAATAGCAGACGTTCATTGACCTCAATAATGGTAGTTTCACCCTACATTATATACTGTCCCTGAATGTATGGTCAGATGACACTGAAATCAGCTGCACATGACCGGGCATACTACACACAAGTACACATCCGTACGGTTTGAGATTATTTGATAAGGGCCACTCACTCACTGTTGTATAGATTTACGGGGATTGATCGTTTTTCTTTATACGTGTCTGTTTTAGGCAAATTATGATCTCTCATTCAGCAAATGATTCATTCAGCATGCACATGTTTTGTGTCTCCTGAAGACCAATTAATAACACTTCCTTTTTGAACACGGCGCTTATACGATCTTTTATCGAATTCGAAAAACTGTCGCAAAGAACCGTCGAACTGCAATTTTAATTCGTTTTATCCTTTATGTGGGGTCGATGGAACGATCACCACTTCTAAGCTTTGGCTATTTTTGATCCAAATACTCAGTTACTGTTGTACACAGCGGTACATTTCCTCACAAGTGTAAAGCGTGTGAAGTAAACATAAGAAAAACAACCTTTCTCAGTTTTAAAAAATTTGATCTGAAACTTGTTTGCACTACCCACTTGTCTCCACATTGTTTGGCTTATAGCTAAACTATTTTTTCTCCAATAACTGATCTCAAAGGTTTACTGAAATGGCACTGGGCATTTTGATACTATAATTAGCCTTGTGATTCTCATCCATAAAAGTCCAAATTAATCCCAATTTTTGTTTTTTTCCCAAACCAAAAATAATGTTCATGAAGACACTTTTGTGAGGCGCACTCATCAAGTTCTACTCGAATCAAATGCAAGTTTGTTTGCATTTAAAAGGGACTTCAATGGGACCACAGTAGACAGTAGGAGGGAAGGTAAACCAGATTCATCCAAATGACCACATTCACGTTTTGATCACTTTTGGTTTAGTTTTCATAGTAATCCATTAAACTTAATGCTCTTAGTTGGTATTGTGGTAGTTGCACGTTCAGGGGAGCACCAAACTTATGCATGTAAATGTTCCCTGTACAATAAATCCAACGTCAACAAACACAAAACAAAAGAGATAACGGTTGGAGAATAAAAAAATGATAATTAATTAAATCAGGTGCACTGACGTTTTCTAATCAATCAAGTCGAGTGCAACCTCATTATCAGATTCATTACAATATAATTTGTCCGTGTTTCCATTTCTGTATTCAAGTCTCCATTCTTTGGTACATGTTTCACCAGGGAAAATGTCTTCATTATTTGGGCTACATGAAAATCAGTTAGATGAACGTGATCAATCATGCTTACTGACTATCAACTTGGCAATGTGTGGTCCTTCGTCGGTTCCACCACCCAACCCTACGGTGTGGCCAATGACGAAATCTAACCAACCGTAAATGCCTCTAGAAGGGCTGTCGTACATAACTGATACGACCTTCGTATTGAGGCGCGAGTCTATCCAACCGCTACTCATCAAGTCTTGAACTACGAATACGGGAGTGGGGACCAATAGGAACCCTGGGCTACAAATGGTGTATGTTTTTAATCACTGATATCTACGAATATCCTAAAAGGAAGGTGGCACGACCGGCACTGTTGTTCTGTTGCAAAACTGTGTGCACTATTGCAAGACCGTTATCTCCGGCATCCCAGCACGACGTTCTCGAGAACCGCTCGCTTTCCGTTGCCGTGATTCATTTGATACTGTGATTTTGGTGGTTAGTTGAAGATGTGGGTCATTGCACTCAGAGAAGATCTAGTATACTTGAGCGTGAACGCCGTGTATTGCATATGAAACCGAAATCCTGGCTGACTTTCACTCTCTAATGACCTTAGGGCTGAACGTGGTCCATAGGCAGCCGTGTTCAGAGACATCAATTAAGCCGAATCCCAATTGAGTAAGAATCAGTAAAAGTAGACAAGTACGCATTATTAGTTATATTATATATTCTTCTCAGGAAGATGAGGCCGTATAATAATGAATCCGTGTTATATCTAACTTTCACCTCACAAGTAGCCCAATAGGAATAATTTGTAAAATTACATTACTTAAATGCCAAATAGTTATCAAGAGCAACGTTCCAAATATTTTCGCTATAAAGGTGGAAATTTATAGGAAAGAATGAGTATGAACTAAGTTTCTCAGTTTTGCTTGGTAATCCATTGATGCATATAGATGGGCAGATTGATGCTGGAGCATTAAGTCGATCATGTATGATCTTGAGTAATTGCATAGTTGTACTATTTACAGACACAGTTAATATAAGAAATTTTGTAAATATAATCTTTATTAGTTGGGAATAAATGGGCTCCGAGAACGAAATACGAAACTGATACACTTAGAGGTTCTTGGGCTGCAAACAATGTATATAACATTGATAGATCAAGAATTTTATTTGACAAATATGGTTTGTATTTTTATTTCCGCGCTGAAATCACTTAAGCACAGACCATTTGAATCAGCATGGAATTTGTTGTTGGGGCACAACCCTGCCGGCACTGGGAAAGAACTCAACATATGGTAAGATAAAAATATCCAGGAATACTACAATGGCTAGTTTATCTGTCTTTAATCAACATACGACAGCGTAATCCTGCAAATTTGACATACCGACTACTTTTGATCGTAAATTGTAGAAAATCAGTACTTTTTGAACTTTCAAAGTGGAAATTAGTCGTATGTATGACAAATGAGGCAATAACTGAAAATCTCGGAAGCACCAAACAGGTGTTTCAACCTGGTTGGGTCTCATTAGCATCGCGAACCCATCTACCCAACTGGGGATCGAACCCGGGACCTCCTGTGCAGGAGGTAAGCATGCTACCTACTACGCCACCG